AAACATAAGTTTTCTGATAAAACATCTGTACTTTCCCTGTAGAGCGTATGGGCACGCAAGATGGTGTTGCTGTGACTTCAGTAGCAAGTGCATAGTTCTTAGACCTACACCCAAACGTTTTGAATTCGTACATGTCCTTCTTCGAGACTGGTTGCCACCAAACGTTTCAGAGTCCAATGTGGATTCATGCCTTTTCCAAGGACATAAGAATAAAATGCACTCAACAGATTTTGCTGGAATTTGAACTCTGCTCGTCGATTCCATTCTCTGTGACTTTAATCACCAACCTTAAGTGATACCGTACTAAAGCCTCGTATAATACTCCTTTATTCTCTCATTTCTGCTAATCTTAACCATGTACATGGCTTGGACAAAATAATTAGAACAGTTGCAAAATCCACTCCTATATTTCAAAGACCTATTATATTAAGAACTTTAACTAAAACTTTGTAATTGCAGGTTATATCTTCTAAATACGTTTGTTTATCTAATTTATCGTCTTTGTCTTATTTATTTTTAGAATTTAGTAAAATTTAAGCTAAATGCGTAACCTCTCCAAGTTCTAAAAAGATCAAATTGTTGGAGCTCGCATGGCAGGAGCCTCGATCACTAAGGTTGCTGAACTGTTTTGTTTTTCAAGAGATACCATATCAAGAACACTGATGCAATTCGAGAAACATTCTAGCAATTCGGGCCGGAATTGCAATCTTACTGACAGGGACTGACGTGCATTGAAACGCAATGTGGCAAAAAATCATCGGACAAATGCGGCCAAAGTGACTGCTGAGTTGAATAACCATCTGAATTGTTTAGTTTCTACTAAAACAGTTCACCGTGAGCTCCATAAGGCTTCATATCATGGAAGAGCCGCTGTGAGGAAACCTCTTCTCTTCACTCGTAACATTCAAAGGAGGTTGATGTGGTGCAGAGATCACAATGCCTGGTCTGCAGACCAATGGAAGCAAGTCATATTCTCAAAGCCCAGTTTTATTTCTTTTCCCAACTTCAGGGCGAGTTTATGCGTGGAGGCAGCCCAAAGAAGCTTGCAACCCTGACTGCCTTCTTCCACCAGTGAATCATGGAGGTGGATCGGTGATAGTTTGGGCCGCCATATCATGGAAATGTCTCCGTCCAGTAGTTGCCCTGCATGGTAGAATCAACAGCAAAGATTACCTGAACATTTTGGGAGATCATGTACATCCAATGGCCAAGACTTTATTCCCTGATGGTGACTGCATCTTTCAAGATGATAATGCTCCAATACATACCGCTCGAGTGGTTAAGAATTGGTATAAAGAGCATGAAAGTGAGCTAGAACACATGGAGTGGCCTCCCCAATCTCAAGATATCAATATTATTGAACATTTGTGGTGCATTTTGGAGCAACAAGTTAGGAGCCGCTATCCTCCACCGTCGTGTCGTAAAGAACTGGAGAATGTTTTAATAGAAGAATGACTGAAAATTTCTCTGGATGAAGTCAGGAAGCTGTAGGATTCCATTCCTAGACGTATTAAAGCTGTCTGTGAAACTAAAGGAGGACCGACTCCATATTAAATAAATTTTCTTTGAATTTAACAAGTGTTCCAATTATTTTGTCCAATCCCTGTATATTCATGTCTGATATATCGAATAATATTTCATCGAATGTCACCATTTTTTCTTTTGTATTAATATAGCTGCCTCCACTTACTCGCCGAAAAAAAAAACAGCATATCATGATGAAAAATGGCCCCAAACTTAATAAAAATTTTGTCGTCAAAGTGTTTATTATTACGACTTAAGAGGAACGAACAAAGTATTTTTTAAATTATTTTAAAATTTTTTTAATCCTTTCTAGTACGTTCGAAAAATTGCTTAAACTTTGTTAAAAATCTTGTTTCTTTTTACGTCGGCTGTCAACGTAATATTTACGATTAGCGCCCCTTTTTCTGGTGAACAGCACATTGATTTGGAAATTCTTGCAAAAATTAAATAATTGTCGGATTTTAATGAAACTTTCAGGACTTATTCACAAATGAATGAAATTATTTTCAACTTTTTTTTAGAAAATCTTGGTAAAAAATATATATTTTTTTATATATGTTACCCCTACCCCACCACCACTTACATAATTTAATGAAATTTCGAGAAATTAAAGTTCAATCTCAACATTGGTTTTATTAGTTAAAAGCAGAACTCGGGGAATTTAAATCATCAGTTTCTTTTTGTAGAACAGTACCATCATTTACCGAAAATCTGCTCTGAATCGTAAAATAAAAAATGAAATAAATCTATGACATTATTTTATTAGAAAAGCTTTTAATTGTTTTTATAAATATTTATTAAGGACACTATTCACGCGTTATCGATCAATAGAAAAAAAAAATCGATGAATATGAATAATGAGTTTTTACACGATTTGTTTTAATTTTTTTAAAATTTTTATTATAACAATTTATAATACAGTGTAACCCGGATGTAAGAGAGTTGTCGGGACCGGAAAAGAAGTCTCTCTTATATCCGGGTTTCTCTTATATCCGGGTTTGGTTTATTTTATACACATTAACACAGGCTCTAATTTGGGACCAGAGAAAATCTCTCTTATATCCGGGTTTCTCTTATATCCGGGTTTCTCTTATATCCGGGTCTCTTATATCCGGGTCTCTTATATCCGGGTTACACTGTAGTATAAATCGTTTAAAATCCTGCATTACTTCCATCCGTTTAGGTGATATTGTTATTAAGTGAAAACTATATTTACGAATCAAAAATTGAAAAGAGCAAAAAGCGTTGTTTACCCTCAATATTTTGAAAATTTAAAAAAATGTATATAAGATATTACGTAACTTGCCCTCTTTGAAAGTATAGTCGACCACACACGATATAATCAGAAAAGAAGAGCGATGACTATAGTAAATTTAAATTCAACATTCCTAAAATTAGATTACGAAGAATATTTTCCAACGTTTTTAAGATTACTGAGTACATAAAAATTATATAAAAGAGGCGCTTACCCGTCATTTTCTTAAATCAAATTTAAATAGCTGTGTAGAACAGCAATAAAGGTATTAACAGATTTTATCATTACTTATTAAGTGAGTGATGAGTAACACGCGACGGTGATAAGCTCGTAATCACTGCTAATGTTTGTTTTAAAAATCCATTTCTCTGTTATTTTAAACTTAAAGTAAATAATATTTTTTTTCAAATCAGGTTAATTATACTTTAAGTCAGCTAATATTCCTCAAATAAATTTTCAGAAAATATATTTTATTTTTGGAAGATTTTTAAAACCGAGAATTATCTTTTGTTTACTAATGTGTCAAAAATGTTCGACATTTATCGATTTTTTATCGATTTTCTGAAAGCAACCAAAAAGGGGAGATGCTGATCAATATAATTTCTATTTGAAATACATCAGAATATTTTGCATACTGGAAATAGTAAATTTAATCATTTAGCTTTCAATTAAAGCTAAAAAGGAAGCTTCAAGAATACTTTTTCATTTAAAAAAATTGATTTTAAACCTTAGGTATCAAAACTGATTGGAAGTATCTATATTAATATATAGTAAAATATCTTAGCCTGCAACAAGACTACAATGGAGTGAAATAAGGAAAGGAAGATTTATTGTAACAATCTTTTTTAATGAAGACGTTATGACTGCCTTAAACATCAGCATTTGCGATCCAGGGTTTTACATAGGTTTGAGCACTAATGTTGGTGATAAATCTTTACTTTCCATGTGGTCTGTATCAATATTTACTCAGCTTAGATTATTCTGCTATCAAATCAAATTGGGGAAAATAAATATAAGATAGTGTTGCGCGAAAATTCATCTTGAACTGGGATCGAAGAGGGGCCGGTTGCAAATCGTTTTTTTTTTTTTTATCGGTATTAATTTTGAAGCTCGTTGTCAGAAATAATTAAGGTTAGAGTTGTGATGAATTTTTTTGTTTTTTCAGTTTTTTTTTTTTGGCCTGACTCTATTTTTTTATGCAGCGGGTTGGTCTTGCTGTCACTTTTTCTCAATCAGTCGGCAGTTCTTTTAATAATGATGATTCGTCTTGGGATTAAGTGAGTTGTTGACTTGGAAAATCAGAGGATCTTTGTCTTGTTCACGCGTTATCGATCAATTACAACCTCCTCTCCGATTCTGACGCATCTTTTCTACGGCTGTATTGGTTTTTTTTTTTGGTCGATTATGATGAAGCTACTCGAAACATCGCAATATGTTGTCATCTTACTTATTATAAAACGCAGACTCTGTGTGTGTGTGTGTGTGCGTGTGTGTGTGTGTCTGTACGTTTATATATTGGATCGAATTTCCTAAATTTTTCAACCGATTTCAACAAACCATCACAGGACTGCGTAAAATTACCTTGCGGTAGTTCTGACAGCGCCCAAAATTGGAAAAACACAATTGTTTTTGTACGAAATCAATTTGAAAACACAATTAAGAGGCATCGCGAGAATGAAAGGGGGAAAACTCATATCGAGTTATACTTATTATAAAACCCAGGTTGTTTGTGTGTGTCTGTGTTCGTTTATATATGGGATCGGATTTCCTACATTTTTCAACCGATTTCAACAAAACTTCACTTTTTTTTTTTTTTGGCAGTGTTTCTTATTGTCTTGCACACTTTTTTTTTTTATTTTACATTCAGAATGCTTTAAAGATTCCATTTACAAGACAATTGTTTATAATAAAATTCTATTCAATCGGTAGACTCATAACGATTGAAAACAATGTTTTTATTTGAGTTTGGGTTTGACCAATTCGTAAAAAAAAAACAAAAAAACAAAAACAAAAAAAACAAACTAATTAAGACATGCGTGTCCGTCAACCTTAAACAATAATCTTTGCCAATTTTATTTTTCAGTCTTTATGATGGTCGATACTTGATCTATCTCTTACTGTTACATCCCCGGGCAACGCCGGGCTCTACTGCTAGTAAATAATAAAAGAAATTTGAGAGGATAGATGTGCAGTCAAAGCAACCACAGAGTCATTTTTATAGTTAAATCCTTTTTCTTTGTTTAACGTCCTGAAAAGATGCTTTAAGAGTGAGAGAGAGAGTGAGAGAGACAAGGAGTGAGAGAGAGAGAAAGAGAGAGAGAAAGAGAGAACCAAAGAGAAAGAAAGACCGTGAAAGAGATAGAGAGAGGGTATGAGAGATAGAGGGAGAGAGATAAAGGGAGGGAGGAGTGAGAGAACGCGCGCGCGCGCGAGAGAGAGAGTAATAGAGGGTGAGAGAGAGATCATGAGAGATAAAGAGAGAGAGGGGGCGCGCGCGAGAGAAAGAGAACTAGAGAGAAAGAACGACCGCGAGAGAGATAGAGAGAGGGTCCGAGAGAAAGATAGACAGGGAGAGAGAAAGAGAGATAAAGGGAGGCAGGAGAGAGAGGGAGAGAGAGTAATAGAGGGCGAGAGAGATCATGAGAGAGATAAAGAGAGAGAGGGCGCGCGCGAGAGAGAGAGTGAGAGAGGAAGTGCGAGAGAGAGAAAGAGAGGGTGTGAGAGATAGAGAAAGAGATAGAGACAGAAGAAGAGCGAGAGATGGAAAGAGAGAGAGGGCGTGAGATAGAGAAAGAGAGATAGAGGGAGGAAAAGAGAGCGAGAGAGATAGAGAGAAAGATATATATATAGAGAGAAAGAGAGTGAGAGAGAGAAAAGAGAGAGAAAGAGATAGAGGGGGTCATTTTAAGTATCAGGTACTGCAAGAAAATTGGAGTAGATAGGTTCCCTTATCACCCGGTTCACACTCCACCCCTCTCTTTTAGACAGCAGTAGAGGTTCATCTCTTGTTCCTTGTTTAGGATCAGTTTTAAGGTTCTTTTTAAAATCTTTCATTACGAGTAGCCACTTGAATCTTAATGGCGGGCGTTATCGCTTTGTCTGGGACGAATTGATAAAAAAAATACCTGTTGAAAATACTTCGAGACACTTATCTTTCTGATTCCATGTCAATTTGTACAGTTTTTCCTCCCGCGTTGGTTTTTCTAACTTGTGGGTTTAACCCAAGAACAGTAACCATCAATTAAAGTTACACCACTACTAACCATGGGTATATCATACCCGATTTTGAAAATATTAAAAAAAAAAAATATAAATCTTTATTTGAAATATTTTATATGCAGGCACTTCAAACTTCGTACTTTGAGTTAACATTAATAGAAACTGAAAAACATTATTTAGGTAAGAAAATCAGCTACTAAAAATTGTAATTAAAAATAGGAAAATTTGCGCTGGGTACTATATATATATATATATTTTAAATATGAAAATCTAAAGTCAGAGCTAATAAAGGAGGGGTATAATGCAATTGTTAGAGCAGTGGAAATTGGAGCAAGGGGTTTCGTTTCAGGCACTCTGTACCAATTTCTGGGCCAAATTGGAATCAAAGGGCGTAATAGGGCCAAGATTATAAAACACCTAATAGAAGTAACAGAAAATAGTTCTATGTGGGTATGGAAAAAACAAAATACTCCGTGGAGTGTTTCAGCGAACATGACGGCATGACATGACTGATCGTGAATGCGTAATGAGGTTCACGTTGCATTCCCAGAACGCGAGGTTTGCCGTTTTTCGAATTTTCGTAAATTTAATTTCGCCGTGACACATTTGAACTAGTTTATCTACAAGGCTTGTATATCGTTATAATGGGGCCTCCCATCAGTGAGGGGGGCCGGTGTGCAACTGAAACCGTTGAGAGGAAGGCCCCGAAACGGTGCACATTCTCTCCTGATGACCCCAATTTAAAATTCGAGAGGAACGCATCAAATTCAGTGAAGTCAAAAGCCGTAGTGAAGCTTGGTGGAAGTGTCATTGGCATGAGGAGCATTACACATTCAGCTCGCTTCAGGTGAGTTTCAATTACTTTCCAGTAATTTCCTTCTACCTATGGTTAGTGTTCTAGGGTTAAAAAAGAAAAGCAAGATTTTATTTTTTTTTCTTCTATTTTCCTCACATTCCCTGTGGAGGAAAATAAACAACTCCATACATTTTACAACTACCTCGCCAACCATTTTTGTACATTTTCACGTCTACCCGCGTTTTTATTGGCACGAAGAACCTCTTTCGGATTTCGTCAAATTATCAAGTGAAAATTTGTAAAAATTCTTGTAAAGTTTAGAACTGTATCGATTCACACAAACATGAAATGATGGGAAAATCATTTTAAATTTTAGTTCCGTGTCTATTCGGTCAGCTCTGGAATGTTTATCAATGAACGTATGAACTTTGAAACAATTCATTGAATAACTTAAAATTCCTGATTTGTTTATTTGCATAATTGAAAGATAAATGCAAGACAGTGTGTTTTTATTTTTAAATAATTTTTTTCTTTTTACGTAAAACAACAACTCAAACTGATGATTAAGATAATGGCTTCATTTTAAATACAGACATTCGAAGAAAAACTGTCAGATTTTTCTACGGGGTTGTCATGGTGGCGTGTTAGGGGAGTGGTTAGCGCACAGAAGCATTAATGTGCGAGTCGTGTTTGATATCCGACTACGTACGTTCATTTTGCGACAATGCTTCCGGATAAGGCATGAAGCAATGTTTCCTTGTTCAATGGTCACATGACTCGACAAAACATCTGGTCACTAGTATGCGATGATTGTCGAGAGAGAAGAGGGCGGAAGAATGAGAAACTAGTTAAATCATTATCGTACCTTCCAAGAAGACACGCCAGGAAAGCCGTCCAAAGGCTGCAGAGTCTCCTATAAAAACAAACACCGATCTCTCGCAACAAACTATAACTCTGTGAGCAGACGATTTTCATGTGAAGGAATCAGCTCTATGGGGTTTTATGGTACAGAAGTTAATTGTTTCCCTGTCTGCACCTGGAAATTAACTTAGACTTTGTATTTCTAAGGTGAGAACAGTTAAACTGGAATTGTTGGATTGTTTTCATCATGAAATTGTCACTGACAGTTGTAGCAAAAAACAGTTGTAGCAAAAAATCACACGAAAACAAACTCAGCAAATGTTACCGATGATCATATAGTTCTAAATATGAGACATATTTAAAGCATCGTAATATTCAACCGCATAAAGTAATGGCAGACTTTTGGACTATCTATCTATCTATCTATCTATCTATCTATCTATCTATCTATCTATCTATCTCATTCTGTTCATTATCTATCTATCTATCTATCTATCTATCTATCTATCTATCTATCTATCTATCTTATTCTGTTAATTATCTATCTATCTATCTATCTATCTATCTATCTATCTATCTATCTATCTTATTCTGTTAATTATCTATCTATCTATCTATCTATCTATCTATCTATCTATCTATCTATCTATCTCATTCTGTTCATTATCTATCTATCTATCTATCTATCTATCTATCTATCTATCTATCTATCTTATTCTGTTCATTATCTATCTATCTATCTATCTATCTATCTATCTATCTATCTATCTATCTATCTATCTCATTCTGTTCATTATCTATCTATCTATCTATCTATCTATCTATCTTATTCTGTTAATTATCTATCTCTCTCTCTCATTCTGTTCATTATCTATCTATCTATCTATCTATCTATCTATCTATCTATCTATCTATCTATCTATCTATCTTATTCTGTTAATTATCTATCTATCTATCTATCTATCTATCTATCTATCTATCTATCTATCTATCTCATTATGTTCATTATCTATCTATCTATCTATCTATCTATCTATCTATCTATCTATCTATCTATGTCTGGAATTGAAATTCCTTTGTGAAACGACACTAACATGTTTAAATAAGAATATTTACAACAGTTCGTTAACCCGTCTAAAAGTATCCCTTGTAAAACTGGAATAAGCTTTACACACAGAAGCAGGTTATATATCATCTGACTAAAATGGCGGGCTGATTTGGATCAATGAACGAAGCCTCCTTTTTCATGTCAACTTCAGGATACTGACTCGACAACTTAAATGGTTTTTGCTGAGTCACCACTCACGTCGGCAGCCATGATATTAAACCTGACAGAACAGGACAAAAAAGTAACGGAAGGAAATCTTGTATGCGCATGACAAGAGACGTCGAACGCTATTAGACGTTTGCATGAACATCGTTTATTCATTACACACATCAATCGAAGTTCGTTACTGAACATTAGGCGTAAAATTATTATGAAAAGTAAAACATATTTTTTAGCGCGTAATATGATCGACACACACACATATATATATATATATATATATATATACACATCTACAGGCATGTACAGGGTGCAATGGACAATGGATAAATTGTCATCTAAATTACGCAAATATATATATATATATATATATATATATATATATATATATATAAACAGATCGATCGATCGATAGATAGATAGATAGATATGGATATATTTATATATATGTACACACACACACACACACACACACACACACACACACACACACACACATATATATATATATATATATATATATATATATATATATATATGCACACACAAAAGGTACGGAGAACAGCTTATCTTCTAAATTACGCCAAAATTAAAATAACACTGACATCTCATTTTAACGGATATAATTACTAAAATTACACAAAAATATCTTGAAATACTAAAGAGTACATTTATTCAATAAAATCGCCATTGTCTTCAATCACAGCCTCCAGACGACTTCAGGATTTTCTTGGAAATGGGTTAAATAGCATGCTAGAATCGACTCTGGACCCCTAGATGGTAACCAGTAAGGAACATACTGGATTTCCTAACCCTGTTTATGACACCCCTGCTACTTTCTTTCCTAAGGAGGCATAGCAAATCACAGATTATAAAGAAAAAGAACATGGGGAAAGCGATGAAGCCTATATCCTAAAATTAAAATAAAAATCCTTTTCTCTCACCACTTAAAGATATTTTCTAGGTTACATAAATGAAGCTAATAAAACGCATTGATTAAAATCAAGCAGAAAAGAATACATTGTTTAGAACAGCATCCCAAATATATTTTTTCTTGGTATATATTTCTTTGCTCTACTGTGTTGTTTGGTTGTTATATCAACGCTTTCAGGATTGGACCTTTGAACACTTCCGGGTGACAAGATGATACGTTTGAGAAGAGCAACGACCAACCATTCCACGTGCGTATATCGCATGAAATATATCTGAGAAAAAGACGGTGCTTTTGATGCGAATCAAATAAGAAAATTGGCACCGGTTTATGCTCAATAACTACGTTACTTCGCTTGTAGTGGCCGTAAGCAGAGAAAATGAATATTCAACAGGAGACTTCAAACGCCTTTTTTACCTAACAGAAACGTTCTAAGACTATGCAAATTTTTTGGCCTTTTATTTTGGCCAGTAAACGAGGTGAGCTAGCGACATGACGTAAAAAGAGAATATTATAGGAAAGTCTTGAAAAGGAAGTTGTCTACCCCTTCAAAGTCAGAGAGACACGAATTACAAAAAAAAAAAAACGTTATCGTAGGGTCGCCATATTTACTGCAGTTGGAAGATGTGTTCGGCCCAAATATTTTCTATATATACAGTGGGTAGCAAAAGTATTTAATACATTGGTTTTTCTTACATATCTCAAAAAATAACAGATCAATTTCAACGAAACTTATAGGAAATATTTAAACGAACATTGTCGATCAAAACATAGAAGGAAAATTTAAAACCACTGTTTTGAGAAACATTTATTAACAATAAATAAAATA